GGCTGTGTTCAATGAAGTTTTATTTACTTAACAGAGATGGTGGGCTGGATTTTGCCTGTGGGCTGTAGTTTGCCAACCCCTGATTTGCTGATCCCTAAAGTAGATGGCCTGGTGTGTTGGTTAAAGTAGTCACTTATTCTGCTTGTAATACCATACATATCTAGTGACAGGATATATTTCTGCACAACTTAGAAAGTTAGGAATTGATCAACTATTTGTTGAACACTTTCTATTTTTCTGCTATGGTTCTTTTAATAAGAACCATGGAGGAATCAGAACAAGTATAGGAATGGGGCAGTGCCCAACACTTTCAGAGAATTAAGATTATTTTATATAAAATTACTAGCAAACAATATGTAATGATATAAGGTTATATGATATATATTTTATGTTATATATGATTGCATAACTTTATATATTTACTTCTCTATTATATATATGAAATTAAGTATATTCCTCTAACATTCAAGGAAGAAAGAAGAAAGTAAATATTTGTGTCTGTTTTGTGTCTCAGCACAGAAACAGGCCAGGTGTGGAGATTTCCTTGTGAGCATTTGGAGGCAGCACTACAAGGCGAGGCGAGCTACTGATTGCCTGCTTCCTGACCTTGGTTCCTCCCATCATCTTCTATATAGTAAATAATGATGATGATGATGATCATGTTAAAAAGGCAGCTCAAGAATTTTTTGAGCATATATGTAGAGGATATAGGCCTTTGGTAAACCGTCACAGACGTCCAAATCTTGAGTCTGAGATCCCAAATTCAGTAGCAGAGATGATACTTTCTGCTCTAACACTGTGTAATAAATTATAGTTTTGGCACAGGATAAGGAATCAGGAGATTTTGTTGTACCTAGAAATATGGCCTAAGGAATGTTATCTTTGGGCACTCGTTTCTTCATCTGTTTTTAGTCATACCTTAGGTTAGTGATCTTTAAACTGGAGCCTATCAGCTCCCATGTGTTAAAAAGGTGACTAAGGTGGCAGGGTAGGGGATAGGTTAGACTGAGTGCTGAAAGATGGCAGCAAGGAGATGAGTTAGAGGGTAGGATAGTGTAGGCAAGAGAAGGGAGCATTGGACCACTGAGGGGAGCACAGATGGAAAGGAATGATCCAACTGGAGGCTTGGGTGAGAGCTGCTGTGGGCTCCATCCAGTGGAAGATGCTCTTAGAACCGTGGTGAACAACTTAGGCTTCAGAGCCAGTTACGCCTGAATTTATATTGTGGGTCTGTCACTTTGTAGCCGTGTGGCTTTGGACAAATGACTTGAGTGATTTAATTTTCACTATTCTTATCTGTAAAAATGGGCAGAATAATTACACTTATCTGATGAAGTTGTAAAAATTAACAAAGACAGTGAATATAAAGCATTTAACCCGTTGCTGGGAGTCTTATGAAGGTCCCATAAATGTTTGCTGCCATTATTATTATTATTTGTCAGAGAAAAGAAAGTTACAGTGCCAATGAAAATTGTCAGCTATTTAAAAATTGTAGTTATAAAAGTTTTTATAATTTTCTGGAGCCAGGGCATGCTCTGTTTTTTTTTTTTAATTTGGTGGGAATACAGATAAATTTTATATTTTTACTTTGATCAAAAATCTTAGGAGCAAATCAGTTTTAGGCTGTCATTTTTTTCTGTTTCCTGGTTTTGGAACAGTAGGTACCTGTTCTCTGTAATTTGGGTGTGTCCATCTGTGTACTGCTTAAGTCAGTCATGGTGGTTATTCCTAAGGAAGTCAGAGGAAATAAGAGACAAGTACATAGCAATTCCGTATAAGAAAAAGAAGAAAGGAAGGTGGAAAACACCAAAAGGAAAAAAAAAAAAAAAAAAAAAAGGAATACATCAAGTCCCTAGTGATCGTGACAAGAGAAAGAGCTTCTCTTTCATACTAAACCAAGGTAGACAGTTTAGAATGTTTTTAACTCTGATAGTCTGCAAGCAGGATTTTTTTTCTGAATACTTCCTTTCAGCAGCTAGGGCCCTTGCCTGCCTGTTTTGAGAAATTGTTTGATTTTCTCTGCAGCTGTTGATGTGTCTCATCTTATACTCCAATCATTTCTAAATCTGGTTTTGTCTGTGATGAAGCCTGAGAAATAGCTCATTTTAGTGGTTTCTGTGTTTTGGGTCTGTTTTTCATCCTGCAGGAATCACTTAAACCAATAGTCATGCCTTCTCATGTAATTACATGCCTCTGCATGTTCTGTTCTGTTAGTGAACAATATTTATGGTTTGTGTGTGTGCAGGCGTCTGCTCTGGCTACTTGCTGTGCAGTTGCCTAGAGCCCATGAAACTCAGTGTATTCAATGTAGTGGTTTCTTTTTGTTTTGTTTTGTTTTTCTTCGTGTCATCAAATACTTCTGGAGTGTTCCTTCCACTTTCTGGATCAAAGACAACTAGAAGATAGAAGAGAACCTTCCAGTAACCCTTACTTTCTAGTTAATTGTATATAGTGTTTTTTCCCCCAGTAATTTTTTTCCTCCCAAGCCCTCAATTTTTACATAGAAAATGTTCTGTTAAAATTTTGGAAATAAAGTAAAACTCGGAAACAAAATTAAAAAACAACATAGGGAAAAATTGCATCAACTATGACAGATAAAATGTTACCATACTTACTAAAGAAAGAGCTTTTATAAATCAACGACCTTCCAATAGGAAAATCGGTAAATAACATGAACTGATATTCCCAAAAGAATAAAAACTAGAGAAAATAAACATGAAAAAATTTTAGCTTAGCTACTAATCAAAGAAATGACTTTTCCCTCCCTCTCTCCCTCTCTCCCTCTCTCCCTCTCTTCCTTCCTTCCTTCCTTCCTTCCTTCCTTCTTCTCTCTTCCTCCCTCCCTCCCTCCCTCTGTCTTTTCTAATTTGGTAGAGATCTAACAACACAGAATACTTAATTTGGTGAAGCAGGTGCTCTCAAACACTATTGGAGTGGAAAGTGGCACAACCATTCTGGAAAGTAATTTGTCAATATGAATCAAGATTTTCAAATGCTTGTAACCTTTAGCCTATTAATATTACTTCTAGAAATTCATTCTAAGGAAATAATTAGAGATGTCATCAAAGTATTATGTACAAGGATAGTTACTGTTGTTTGTAATAGCATTGGAAATATCAAAAACTTTAGAGACAACCTAAATTTCCATTGACAGCAGTGGTTACATAAATTATAAAACGACTTCAAGAGGAAATTTTATCATGCAGCTGTTAAATCATGTTTTCAAAGAATGTTTAATAACATTGGAAAATGTTCATACTAAAAATAAAGACCGAATGGTGCCTAAAAGAGAATCAGAGAAAGGAGCCAAATCTTTCATTGTCCTTATGTATGTCCTGACCGTAGACAGTGCTGCCTCTCTCTATGTGAAATATCTGGCCCTGGGTTTTATCTTGACCCTTAGTAAGATAAATGAATAAGATCCAGAATAAAATAGAATACAGAATAGAATGCATCAGAATGTGCAGACATCATCCCTCATTGCTAATGATAGCCTTTGGGGAGAGTCACAGTCATTTCGCATGAGGTTTGTGTGGTAACGAATGGCTCAGTAATCAGCCACTATTCCCCCTCACCCTCAACTCAGGAGGAAGTCATTGCAGGGCCTGTGTGTCCTAAGACTGAGGCTGTGGTTTCGGGGCAGCCCTTTGCTCTCAGATCCGAGAGGGCTACCTGATCCCAGCCACCAGGCCTGCCTCTGAAGCAAGCACCAGATTGCCATTTCAAAAGAGGCAGTGAACACTGGAAACCTCAAGCAGCAAACCTGAAACTTGGGCATTTATCTCTGTTTTGTCTCCCCAAAAGTAGTGTCAGTTATCCAAAAGAGAGGTATATCCCCAGGGGAGAGAGTACTGGCTTTGGGGTCAGACAGAGCTTGTTCAGCCCTTAATAGCTACATGTCCTTGGGCGAGTTATTTAACCTCAGTAAGCCCCAGTTTCATCCTCACAGAATGGGAGAAATAATGCAAAACTTTGCAGGGCTCCGGTGGGGATCAAATGATTAAAAATACGTTAAACACCTAAAACAGTGCCTGACACATAATAGCCCTCAGTAGAGAGTAAGTGTTAGTCAGCCTTTCTCTCCACAGTGTATGTTTGTTGAACTGAAACAAGTATTTAAAACTATAGCCTGATAAAGACATTTTTTTCTCCCCATAACCATGGTGTTGGACATTTTGTGGATAATGATCTGAATGATACTGAAAGTGGGATTTTTGCAAATCACTTACTGTACCTGCTTACTGAGTAACGTTAAATATTTCTTTGTGCTTTAGTCTCTATGTCTGTCAGTTTGCATGATTTTATCTTAGCAATTATTTCTAGGGAACCTTAGCCTGTGCAGGTTATCATTACCAGTGTTGTATGTGCTAGTTTGTTTTTGGGTTTTTTTTGGCTGGGAAGGGTGATTTAAAAATTTTTTTCTATATTTTAAAAAATATATTGGAAGAACAACCTTGAAAATTGATCCACTTTTTTCCTTTAAAATAGGGTTGTTTTTATAGTGATGTGATGGTTGGCCTCCTAGTGGTAATACCCGTTTGTAATGGAACTGCTCAGAGGTGTCCTCTGAGTTTGTTGCACAGGGTTTCTTGATATGAGGTTCGCTGACTCATTCAGACCCAGGACTGCGGCCGCATTAATCCTGGGGTTTAGCCATCTACTGATCCATCTGGAAGTAAACTGCCTGGGCCCTAAGGATCTAGGAATTGCTAATTAAAAAACATGCAATTCTTTCTTTCTTTTTACATTACAGATGAATGGGTCACTCACAGCAAGGGATGGCAATCTCTGAAACTATTTGAGGGGCTAGCCCAGTGGCGCAGCGGTTAAGTTCTCACCTTCTGCTTTGGCAGCCTGGCGTTCGCCGGTTTGGATCCTGGGTGCAGACATGGCACCGCTTGGCAGGCCATGCTGCGGTAGGCGTCCCACATATAAAGTAGAGGAAGATAGGCATGGATGTGAGCACAGGGCCAGTCTGCCTCAGCAAAAAAAAAACCAGGAGGATTGGCAGCAGTTAGCTCAGGGCTAATCTTCCTAAAAAAACAAACAAACAAAACCAACTATTTGAAATAGTAAGAATAGATTTGAAAGGGAGAAAAAAGCCATCCACAGAGATTGGGAGCATTTGTATTAGGGACCACATAGGGCATCTGGAATTAGATGCATCTTTTAGTAGATTTTTTTTTTTTTTAACTAGCTTACCAGTATTTCAAAATACCAGTGCCCAGTTTCCATTGACTGTCACCTGTAGATGTTGCTTAAAGCCAGATGCATTTGTGATTTACCACTTATAATTCTCTGCCAGCCCTGTACCTGGGGAGATAATTTCAGGTGTTCTCTGGAATAGTAACCAGTCATTTGATGCAAGTGCAAAGCCAAATCTAGTTACTGGAATTGAAAATAATGAAGCCTAGGGCTTATTTTGGACAACCAGGCAGTTGGAGCAGCTGAATACTAAAATATTGGCCTGTCTGGTGGTTTCCTCTGTGGTTTCTTATCTCTGTGGGTTATGCACCTTCACCCATAGGGAAACAGCCTTAACACAGCTTCCAGCAGCCCTTCTGTTGTGAGGCAGCTTTTCACTCAAAAGAGAAGTAAATTAGTCATTGAACTTTTCGAGTATATAATGAAAAGAAATACCTTACTTAAAATCAAATTTGGAGTTTACTACCCGATAGCCCATGGTTGCTTTTCTGGCCAAACTATTATCCTCCTTTGAGGCAAACTCTTCAGCTGTAAGTTAGCAGACGGTTTCAAAACAGAGCAAGTAAATTAATGGAAAGTGCAAAAATCAGAATAAATAGAATAGAAAATAAATTTATTTTTGTTTTGTCATTTAATCTCAACTGATAAAACAGGAATATACGTATGTGTAATTGTCAGGTTCAAAATCTTGTCAAGTAAACTGCTTCACTCTGTTTTAATTATTCTGTATAAAAAGAAGAATCTCAGAGAAAGCACACACATTTCCAGTGGTTAACCGTATGTCTTTGAAAGTTTTGTATAAGATTGAACCAATATTGGATGTTTTAGGAGGGCTGATCTTGTTGCAGTTCAGTTTTATTCCTAAGTCACTTACTAACTCATATGGTGCTGTTTCTATTTTCTTTTAACTTAAGTTGCACTTAATGATAAACTTTCTTCTCTTCCTGCCAGACTTCCTGTAGAGTAGCCTGTGCTTTCTGCTATGATTTCCTTACCACTCACTAACTGTCTGTAATCACTTGCAATTTGACTTTGGCCTCACTTCTCCAGACTCTCACCCTTTATGTCACATTGTAAAGAACCACATCCTGTTGAATTTACTTCTGCACCATCTGATATGCCCAATTTCCCACTCTACTGGTATTACAGGAGCTCCCCTCTGAAATAACTCCCAAAGCTGTACGTATTACCCACTGCTGCATTACTACCAGACACATCTGCTTTAGTCACATCTCTGCTCATGAATGGTGAGTATCTTCTCACTGTCTGCCGTATAAACTCTGGTTTGCTTGGCCTGGCATTTGAGCAGCATTCTCTCCCGCTGCTTCTCATCATCCGCCCTGTACTCCAACCCAGTTCCTTTGTGTGTGCTGTAATGTCTGTCTGCAGTCCATTCCCTCTCTTTTCTCCTCTCCAAAGCTTATCCTTCTTTCAAAGCCAGAAGGAAAGACATCTCATACATTAAACTTCTCTGACCCTTCTAGCGGGAAGTAATATTTTATTCCTCTAGATTTTGTCTTTACCTTTCTCCCTCTAGTTTTTGTTTGTACCTCTCTTCTTTCTCTTCCTATTCTGTCCTGTGTTATTTGTATGGGCATCTTATTTTCCCTTCTCAAGCGGATCAGTTTCATTATCATTTTATTTTCCAACTCCAGTGTCTAGTTGAGTGTCTTGTACTTTTTATAAGCTAAGTACATTTTGGATAAATGAATGAACTAGCTAATATTAATAAATACAGAGCATTTACTAAAAGATGTTTTAGAATATGGATGGTTACTCCATTATTCTTGTTAATATTCTTCTTACCTTTCTTAGTTATTTCCATGCACCTTAGATTTAACAATTATCTTTTCAACAGCTGATTGCCACTAGTATTTTGAACCCTTTAGGTAGTTATCTCTATTCTGGCCCATTAGGTAATGAATTGCTACATTCATCTTTGCAGCATGTTATCTTCCTAAATCAAACCATTAAGGACTTCTATATATATTTATTTAACAACTTTCAGTAAAGGAGGGGTAAACCAGAAGTTGATGACCAAATTCTCCTTAAGATGATGGTAAAGTCCAAGCACATTTTGTGTGGCTGATGCTGTGAGGAGCCTTTTGGAGTGCTCTAGTGTGAACATAAGAACCAGTGTTCTTTTACAACATTATTACAGCTGTCCTATAAAAGCATGCATTGTAGCTCACTACAGTGATATCTCACCTTTCAAGAACTCAGCAATCCAGTCATTTCAACTCCCCAAACCACCAAGCTCTAAGAAAAAAAGACTGGTGTATATGGCACGTACAGATGAGCATCAAAGAGACCAACAGGAGGCCACAGGTCTTGTTTTACATAGTTCCAATGCATATCCTCTGGGGCTCTGCTTAGCAGCCTTCTCATAGGAGCATTCCTTGATGTACATTCTGTCTCCTACCCCAGCCCAAGGCTGAGTTAGGGGTACCAACTCTGTATTTCCAGAGCTACACTCAGAATGATAATTGCCTGTTAATTTGTCTCCATGTCTGCCTCTTCCACAAAACTGAGAGCTCCTTGAGGACAAGAACTATGTATCATATATCTTTATATTCCTAACATTTTACACAATGCCCAGCATACATTAAACATAAATATTTATTGAATGACCAAAGTTGATTACCTGCCTTTGAAGTCACAACACATTTTTAGGTAGCATATTAAGAAGGAGAGAAAGCAATTTGAAGCAGGCACACAACAACAACAAATAATAGTTAATACCTGATAGCATGTCAAGTGACAAAAATACTATGAAAAAGACTAAAAAAACACATCAGTCTAGGATCATTTAATTTTGGAGGAAATGGCATAAAGTACTTTAACAGTTTCTGAAAACATTGCTGCATGCTAGTAGAGTATTATAATTTGTGTTCATTTTGGTGACTTAAAGCCATCAATTAAAGATTGAAATATGTTCAGGATGCTTTGTTTAAGGATGCAGTCAAGTATGTAATGCATTTTGGAAAGATTTCCTTGTAAAATTGTTTTAAAAAGAAAAGCATCTTTGGTGTTTAATAGGATAAATCCATAACTATCCAAAATGACTCATTTCTGAGGCTTCTATATAGCCAAGGTCTTGCTGTATGAGGATAATATAAACGTATCTGGGATCTTCTCAATTTATCGAGTAGTAGTCGTTCAGTCTACCTAGTAAGCATCTCACACAGTACAGGTACCCTGGGGATAGAAACACGTACACACACACACACACACCCCTTCCCCCAAAAGACAAGGTCCAAGCCAGCAAAGACTTTCAATTTTGCCAGATATACGAAGCTTCTTATCAGAAGTCCTAGGAAATGGCTGTTACAACTTATCACCCAGCACTCTGTCCTTATGCAGTCTTTCAGCGTTCATCAAACACACAGTACCTCTGGGGACCAGGCTCTGTGCTGGGTGCTGGAGGATCGAGGCATAGTGGGTGCTTGTAGACTAGAGGTAGCTGGAGCCCGGAGGACCATGTCTCCCTAAGGCTTCTATCTCTTTGCAGCATAACCTCGGGAAGATTTTCTCCCCTTAGAGACAGATTTGTCTTTTCTTCCTGATGTTAAACAGTTTATGAGAAACAGAAAGATTCATAAAATGGTCTTCAGCCCTAAATTAAAACATATTTTAGGTGGGTAAAAATATAAGACAAGCCTCTCTCCTGTTCTTTACCAGGGTATAGTTCCTCATTATCAGCCTGCTTATAAATAAAAAGGAACAGATAACCTGAGATCTTGCTTCAGTTGTCCTCAGGGGTTACCGAGGTTTGTGTGTGACTGGGCTTTGGACAGTCCTTCATGGAGCCGTGAAGGCTGAACACTCTGATAATGTTTCCCAGATTACAGCTGAGAAAAGAAAGAAAGCATGTACTCAGCTCCACTCCTCAGTAGAGCCAGATGTCCAGCAAAGCGAAACAGTATACCTGTAACGTTGCCAAGGCAACATCAAGGGTAGAGAGAAGAGGAGACAGAATGATTTATGAGGGTTTCTTGCCATAGGAACAGGTCTAAAAATATACTTCCATGTCTTTTTCCTCACAAGGATAAATGCCACAGGATTTATCAAGGGAATTGTGATGCATGAAAGCTTGAGACCCTGTCCCAGGGTCCAAGGTGACCAGGGTGAAGGGCAAGGAGAGGGGAAGCAGAAGCAACCAACGAGAAAAAGTACTCACGATGTGCTTTTAACCTTCTGTTGAACTGATGCTGTGCCCAATGTAAAACTAAGTTTTTTTTTTGGAAACATTCAACTGTTGTATGTTTAAAATGTGCCTAGAAGAAAAAATAACCAATTATTGGAGTGAAATGAGGATACGTGATTTCCATATTAAAAAAATTCCTCTTAGCTTCTACTTTAGCATTATTGGATTTGCAAAGAGAACTACAGATCAGCAGGTGGAATAACATGTTCTCACGGCAGCAGAGGTTGAAATTGCATTTTCCTTATGAGTGGTTGAGAAAGAAACTCTTGGGGCAGATAGAGTTGGCATATCTTAACACTCTTTCTGGGCACACTGCAGTTGGCCGGTGTTATCAGATGTCCACATTGATTTTCACTTTCATGAATTATACATGATTGTATCAGTTATATATTGCAGTATAGCAAATTACCAGAAAGATAGCAGCTTAAAACAACACACATTTATTATCTCACGGTTTCTGTGGGTCGGAAGTTCAGGCACAGCTTAGCTGAGTCTTTTCCTCTGGGTCTCACAAGGCCATAATCAAGGTGTTGACCAGACTGTGATCTTATCCCAAAGCTCAACTGAGGGAGAATCTACTTCCAAGCTCACTCAGGCTGTTGGCAGAAATCATTGCTGTAGAACTGAGGGCTTAATTTCATGTTGGCTGTTGGCCTGAGCAGCTAGAGCCTGCTTGTAGTGCCTTGCCACATGGGCTTCCCAATATGGCTGCTTACTTCGTTAAACTAGCAAGGAGAATCTCTGGCATGTTCGCCACCAATATGGTATCTTACATAGCTGTTTGTTAGAAGCAAGTCACGTGTCCCACCTACATTCAAGGGGAGGGAGTTACATAAAGATGAACACTAGGAGACAGGGATCATTGGAGGTCACCTTAGGGTTTGTCCATCACAGTGTCATTCTGAGAAAAAGGGCAAGTTCTGTAATTTTAAAAGCTGTACAATCTGGAAATCTGTTCACAATTAGCATGTGTGCACGTTATTAAAGCTTCCATTTTTCGTTCTCTTGCCCTTTGGTGAATGAGGAAGGGCAGAAGTGAAGTTACAGCCTTACTTAATGGAAGCTGACAGGAAGGAAGAGAGAGGTTAGCAGGGTTGAAAGAACAATAAAATGAAAGAAGAGAGTATTCCCTATTCTCACAAGGAAAAATGCTAATGGTAGATTAAACTATTCCAGGGTGTTCTCTAGCCCACTTTGGAGGTCTGAGATAACAGTTTGATAGAAGGTTCCTCAAGACTAACATGTGTCTTGATGCACTTTCTACAGACATGGGACTCTGTGTACTTTCGGAAACTAAATCGTAAATCTTGCTTTGCATTAACTGAAGAATTTCCTAGTCCACCTTGATGTCCCTGTCTCAGGGCCTGGAAGCTATTGTGTCCTACATTATTCGTCCCTTGCAATTAAAATATTTGTAAACCAGTGAGCTTGGGTTATGGTTTAGGCTTTAATATAGTTTATGTTCTAAGCCACAAGGGTACTGAAGAAAAACTAAGGAACGGGATTACAGGTGTTTCCCATGTGGCTTGTGGCTGAATGGGTTGTTCCCACAGCATCTAGTAAGGCAGAAATCAGACATTTAGGATCACGTGGTAGACTTCTGGGATTCAGTAATTTCTTTGCTTTCTAAAATGCCTTCAAACTTACCCAACGATTTTAGTACCGCCTCAAGGTACTAGAATCCAGTTAAAAGCACCCTTCTATTAACTGGCTCCTCACTTGTTTTGTAGGGCATCCATGTTTAGCATGGGAACAGATCACAGCACAGGGGAATTACTTCTCGGGCTGTAGTCTGTACCATAGTGCTTGGCCTGTAAAGGTGCTCAGTATATGCTAGTATGACTGCTGCTACTTCTACTCGTATTATTTACACATTCAGCTCAGTCTCCTCTGCTTTCTACAACCATGGAAATATAAGATGCCAAATCACAAAACGAAGAGTAACATACACATAAATAACAATAATAATACATGTTATTTGATGACGTCTGCTGTGTTAGGCAGTTTATCTACACTATCACATTTAGTCCTCACAACAAC